AGTGAAAGTACTGGAGAGAACATGAACGAAATCCCCTCAGTTGTATGCTTACTCCTTGGCCTTGGCCTTGGTTCAAGCAGTGCAAAATCGCCTAGAATCGTGCACAGAATAATACTTTGGTGCAATTTTTCCTGAAAAGGGGAGGTAGAGATGTAGAATCATCACTTTCATTAATGGTGTCTGCTTCTCTGCGCTCTCACCATTAACACAGGGGGATTTTTTCGTTGGCTATTCCTGAACATTTTGCCTCATTAACCCTGTCCAGAGGAAGGTCAGCATTGTGTCAGAGACGGAGAGGACTACCAAGTGTCCGTTTCTCTGCCCCCCCCCCCCCATCGTGAGGAGTCTGACGCAGTTTTCACTGAGCATTACAAGGATTTGGACCGTTATTCGTTATTTCTCCACTAATAACTGATAATTATTTAGGAGCTATTTGTGTTGTTAACGAACGAACTGAATTTATTTTATTTGTGGTGAATCAGCACTACTTTATGACGGGTAGAGAAGCAGAGCAAATATTTAGCGCCCTGTTTGTCTGAATCTAACCGTGACAACGTGTTTACCTATCGTTAAGAAATGAATATTGTGAGATTTGGTCCTCTGACAAGTCAATGGCTGAACAGCTGCCCATAAATTGTTGACGCTTTGTTGGGAAATCAATAAATCGATAACATCGCCTGCTTATTATAAGAGACCTATATAAGGAAGAAAAGCTCGAATCATTCTCATTCCCACTCGTGTACGTACCATACAAGGTTGCCAATCGATACACCAGCAATTTCTCCTACAATGTCACTGCTTTTCGTCGTTCAGCTATCGTGATGGATGCCGTGATGGAAGAACAAAATGCCGAGAACACTCCAGAAAATTTGGAAGAAGTAGACGTTGATCGGAGACATCCATGCTCAAAGTTATTCGTACGAGTAGGTCTCTTGCATGGCGCAATTGGTAGAGCAGTCGACTCCTAGTCTGTTGGTCAAGGGTTCGATTCCCGTGGACGTCGAAACGTCTAA